TCAAAATGCTCTGCAACTGCTAAATGTATATGTAGCAGCAAGGTGTAATCCGAAAGCCAGTGACAAACAGTACAGTGGTACCTCGGGTTAAGTACTTAATTCGTTCCGGAGGTCCGTTCTTAACCTGAAACTGTTCTTCACCTGAAGCACCACTTTAGCTAATGGGGCCTCCCGCTGCTGCTGCACCGCCGGAGCACGATTTCTGATCTCATCCTGAAGCAAAGTTCTTAACCCGAGGTCCTATTTCTGGGTTAGCGGAGTCTGTAACCTGAAGCGTATGTAACCTGAAGCGTATGTAACCCAAGGTACCACTGTACTTACATGGTTCAATTTAGCAAAAGTTGTTCACTGGCTTCTAAATTCTCATTCTAAGATCTTCCTAGATCATTTCCTTCAGGACTCAGCTGCTTAGGGCTAAGCTACCCTGACCCCCTGTGACATCAGAGCAGCTAAGCCAGAGGGGACACAAATCTTTCAGAAATATTTAACCTGAGGCTGTGTTTTAAAATATACTGTCCCTGTTCTTTCAGCAACACTATGTCTGCATGCTGAAGTGCATGCTGTTCTTGGAAGCTGAGAGAGAGAAAAGGGTTAGACCTCGTACATGAATATAAGAATCCATCCACAGTTCTTCAGTATACATACCTGCTTGCTGCTTATTTCATTTTCGGTCTTTCTAGAAATATAATTGAAATGTTCTTTTGGGTACAGGATTCCAATGTAAACAGCTTTTACCTGGAAATTTACCTATAAATTCTAAATCAAATGAATAATATTCTGCCCTGAGAGTTCTGTCCTAACAGAGTTAGGTGTGCTTGAACTTGTTTAAATTAGTGGACTCAGTCCTTTTTTCCCCTAGAAAAACTGGTGCCGGTACTCACCATGCAAGGGAGGGCTATCGGACACTGCCAGAGCATCATGTCTCTGTCCCTAAGCTGGGGAGAAACTTCCCTGGCTTTGGGAAGGAGATGTGAGGCTCTGATTTGGGGCAGAAAAATACACCGCCAGAAAAAAAAAAGCACTGAGTGGACTTAACCCAGATTTAACACTCTGTTGGATTGTGGCATATGCCTTTTTGTTCTTAAACTACATGTTGCTTTCTATAATGTTTTGGTAGTCCTTACATATTCTTTTTTTTTTTTAACAGCACTTGAGAGGCAACAAAATATAAAAGCAAAACAGGAAGTTGAGTTACGGATAAAGGATTCTTTCATAGGCCGCCTCTGACCTGCAATTCCCCTCCTGTCATATTAGCCATCTAATTAGACTCACGCTGTTTTGGTACTGTAATAGAATTCAGTGGCATGGCTCTCACTTTATAATCCTTTCATTAGGAAACACTAATTCTCTAAGCTGCCCAAAATAGTTAAAGTACAGTAAGCAGAAATAAATAGTGCATTCCCAGAAAATACAGTGGCAAATAATAAGCATACTGTAATGATTACATTTTTTTCATGAAATGAATTTCTTCACAATACCAGAGAAAGTATTAATAATGAAGATGCGATTTCAATCTGTCTTGTGTGCATGTTAGATGTTTTATTACCAACTGATTATATAATAGATTCATATGAAAACTTAACACAGAAATATTACTACCTTGTATAGTAAACTACTTCTATTCCTGTGAAACCTAACTCTCTCCCATATACAGGCAACAACCATTTTGCACGTACCCGACTGACATGCGGCTACCGACACACACATCCTTTTCGGCCCAGGAAAGGGGTGGAATGGGCAGAATGGGGTGGGGGCAGAATGGGCTTATGCGCTGACACAACTCCCCCATACAAATGGGGAGTTGCCTGCATTGAATCACAGGGATCTATTTCTGTAAGTCATTTTTGTAATTTTTTGGTATCCTTCACCATAGCTGTCCATTTCATAATTTTAATCTGTTCCCATAAATTGTACATTGGTTCTGTTTTAGAGAAGTTTTGCATATAACATTTTTTTCTGTTAGTGAGTATATAAATTTATTTTCTACCTGGCATGCTCTTCAGTATAGTTTGACATAGAATCATAGAATTGTGGAGTTGGAAGGGGACCACGAGGATCATCTAGTTCAACCCCCTGCAATACAAGAGTGGATGGGTGGCATATAATAATAATAATAATAATAATAATAATAATAATAATAATAATAATAATAATAAAAACCAACCATAGGGCTCGAATCCACAACCCTGAGATTAAGAGTCTCATGCTCTGCTGACTGAACTATCGCAAAGCTTTCATGTAAGGTCACCAAACCCCTGGAAGCTATTTTGATAGATGATCTTAGGAATGTGTGTTTAGGAAGGTTTATAGCCTCTGTATGCTGTTAGGTCTTCTCAACCTCAGCTGTTGCCCAACCTGTTTGCGGTTCAGATCAGTAAAGTTACTCAACGTTCTAGGTACTTGGTGGTGGTGATGAGAATATTAAGTTTATGAAGTACAGCTTTTTAGAATGTATAAGCTAAAAAAGTTTCCATTTTCCTAAGTAGTAGTAAGCCTATCTGCTTTTTGTAGGGGGGTGGTGCCACAGTCTGGCTAATAATTCTCCCCCACCAACTTGAGCACTGAAGCTCCCTGCTTCTAAGTCAATAGGTGACAATGAGAAATATCTGAGAAACAGGCCCCCTAGAGCCAGTGTCCATGCACCACTGATATTTGTCCCCACCTGTTGCTGTTGTAGGAAGCACTCCTGGTAAGGGGTCTCTAAACAGTGATTATATAGGGTGGGTGAGTGTAACGTAACTTCAAAGACATTTGCCAGAAGCACTGCAATAGCAGAACAAGTCAGTTGCATAGGAGAAATGATGGCAGAGACTTGAGTTATCTGTTTTGCAACACTCACTAGGATTGTGGAGGGGAATAAACTGCAGATCAGACCTAAATCTATTCACATAAAGCAAGTAAATCACTGCGTTCAAACAAAATGTAAGTTATTCCACCATATTCATTCATTTGCACCCAGTCACACTCAGAATTACCTAAACAAATGTCAATAGCAACCCACCTCTGTGTCTTGCAACCACTCAGCCGTTGACCAAGGTATGTTGGCAAGTTATTAAGGAAATATTGAATCAGTGATTTGTGGAATAACTGAAGAATGTGCATAAGTGTATTCAGCAAATTTGTATTGACTACACTCTAGGAGATAGTCAGCTTTACCGTTTTGATGTTCAAACCAAAGGCAAATCATTGTCATCTAATTTGCACCTAATTGCACATGCATCAAAGGTGCGACAGTTTGTCAAACCAATTAGTTGCTGAAGATTTAATCATAAAAATGAAGATTCTGAGCAAGAAATGTCAGCATAGCAACTTGTAGGACACATATTACTGAAGCGAATTATTCTTGATATAATTGTCATCATCCCTTTATCTTTACGCTGTGCTCCTAATTCCCTTTCCTGTCATATTTCTTTTGGTTACAGACTCTTGAGTACTCTATATTTCTGTACAGAATACCAAGGCCTTTGCACATTTAGGAGAAAACATGATTGGGAGGGGGCGATCTGTAAGGAGATTTGGTGACCTAAGATAAATTACAAAAGTAATCATGTAGAGTTATCATTACTAAAATAATAGTTTAGGGGGAAATGTCTAAAAGTGACACAATGGGTATCTGGGGGGCAGAAAAGGACTGCACCTGCGGGCACCATCCACAGTGTCATGCATTCTGCCTGCTCTGCCATCCATGCATTCAGCACATTTGAAAAGGGCAGCCTACACATATACATCTGAAGGAGTGTGAGCTCTCTACCCACTTGGGAACGTTCACCATGTAGGCTTTCAAATCATGCACAGTATTATGCAGCTGTACATGCACAGGGTCTCCTTTTGAGATGACACACAGATTCATAGGAGCCAACTCCTAGGGGCCAAAGTCCCTTCAGCCTCCCCCAATAAAATATTTGAAGGGGCGGGGCCCTCCAAAGTTGATAGGCATTGCCATTCAAATGGTGTGCGTGTGCCACGTCTGGTGGTCAATTATGCAAGGCAGGGCTTACCTCTCCCCCCCCCAGATGTCAAATGCAGGTGCATAACATTGAGGTTAGGGCTAACCCAGGTGGTCCTCCTTCCTCTGTATGCATGCACCAAATGCATGGAGATGACTGTATGAACAGAGTTGAAGAAGTAGGCCAATTTTTCATCTGAATATGGTCCTTACTAGAATAAAGAGAACAATGTTTGAGTTGACACATTAAGATTTTCCCTGTAATTCATGTTCCACATGCCTCCTCTGTTTGAATTAGTGTGTTTGTGGGAGAGGAGGCATGGGTAAGTTCTTGTAGAACACATTCCATATGGATGGATGCCTCACTTTCACTCAGCCAGATGGTTAGCTAGAACACGGTTGTTCCGTTGGACTATTGAGACTATAACGGATTGGAGTTGAATTCCTGTATTTATTTGCTGAAGCTTATTGACATTTTAATAAGGCACCCTGATTTGTATTTTGCTGAATTACAGTGGCGCCCCGCAAGACAAACGCCTCGCAAGACGGAAAACCCGCTAGACGAAAGGGTTTTCCGTTTTGGAGGCGCTTCGCAAAACGAATTTCCCAATGGGGTTGCTTCGCAAGACGAAAAAATCTTGCGCGTCCCCGCGGGTTTTTTTCCGCTCCCCCCCCCCTTTTCCTAAGCCGCTAAGCCGCCTATCAGCTGTTCCGCTGATAACCCGCTTAACAGCTGATCGCGAAAAGCCGCTCGACTGCTGTAGCGCTAATCCGCTAAGCTGTCAGTGGGCTTGCTTCGCAAGACAAAAAACCGCTAGACGAAGAGAATCGCGGAACGGATTCTTTTCGTCTTGCGAGGCACCACTGTACTGTCATTTCAATTACCCGAATTGGATTTTAATTATTCTTTAGTCATCTTGTGTGCGTGTTTTCAGTGGAAAGTAGGGCATAAATGCCATAATAGGGAAACAATTCCGCTTTGACATCTTCCATACCAGACCTTAAATGTGTGCTTTCTACAGTGTTGTTGTTCAACGTGTTGTTTTCTTTTTAGATGTAAAGATTACTGATGAACTGGAATCTTCAGGCGATGAGATTTTGGCTGCAATTACTACTATACCATATGTCATTGGTTCTCCTGCTCTTCCCACCTCTCTTCCCGAAGATGATATTTTGGGGCCTACAGATCAGATCATTTTATTGCCTGCTGTAACTACCAGTGGTCCTTCTGTTGTCATTGACCAATCTTTCGAAGCAACAAGCTCTGGGTGGGCAGTGACTGACGGTGACATCCCTACAGGATTTGACATGGGGGTGCAAGATATTGCTACTGAACTAGATACGGTTGACATCATGAGGCCAGCAACAATTAGTGAGGATGGAAGTGGCTACTATGCACTGCCTGAAACTCTGGATATGACTCCAGCTCCTCCACTGAAGTACGTAACCACCAGCTCAATGACAACTGCAGCCAAAGGCAAAGAGCTAGTAGTCTTCTTCAGCTTGAGAGTAACCAACATGCGGTTTTCCGATGACCTCTTCAATCGGAGTTCCTCAGAATACAAAGCACTCGAACAGCAGTTCATGCAGCTGGTAGGTGGCAAAGAATTGGCTTTAATGCATTTATATTTGCAAGCTGTTATGCGCCCCGTGCCATTCCCCAAGTTAAAAACAAATTCCAAATAATGAAAAGCATTTTAAAAAGAAAACTGGCACCTACTCTTCTTACTACCCAACCCTGTTCATGATGCTAATCACATGTGATGAAGGGCAGCAAAGAAATTTAATGATGATGATGTAGTTTCAACCTTATCCCTGCCTCAACTTGGGTTGGAAGAGGAAGTCAACTCACACTTAACGGCAAACCTAACCTCTGCTTTCTGAAACAATAGAAAACCCCAAACACACTCATTTTTTTCAAAATCCGCACTTCCCTGAATTTTATTGGGTTGTTCTTCACCTGAGTTGTGTATCTAGCTATGGTGGTGGTTAAAGTCTTCCTCTCTAACTGTGGCTCTATCACCAGCACCTCTGGAAGAGGGGAAGCTGGAGAGAGAATATTTTAACTTCTCCCACAAAGCAGAGCTCAGGAAGCATGAGAGGATAGGGCCTCCCTTTTAGGTGTGCATGAAGGGAAACTGGCACCAGAAGATTAAAAAAAAATGACATCCGTTAAACTACCTTAGCTACCACTGGTCACTCCTGCTGCCATTGCAGGGCGGAACTCTTTTGGCTTCCTCAGCCAGAAGGTTGAGGTTGGAAGTGTGAATAATCATAGCTGGAGGGTGCTAGCTCTCCTTGCCACAAAAGAACATACAAAACATGTTCAGTTATTGGCTATGCAGTGCAGAGCTCCCAGTATACACAAGTACTTATTGTTGACTTTGGCAGCTGGGATATAAATATCCAAGGCTCACTTTTTCCTTTTAACAACTAACAACACGCAAAACCCTCTTGAAACCATAGAACTGCCTTGCCTATGGCTGCAATTCACATTTAAGCATGTTTAAGTCCCATTGATTTCTTTTTTAACTGGATTGC